AATTCCTTCTGAATTGGTCGATCCCTTACTCCTATCAAAGATCCAAACCACATTTCTTTCAGCACATTCAATTGCTTCTTCTCCTTAAGGTGTTCAATTAATGAATTCACTCTTTTTATGTTGTACCTTGTCGACACTTCCTACATTTTTTAAAAATATATAATGTTATTGCTCTTATATATCTTTTATCGAAGTATTTACAAGTTTAATGAATACCTTCTTTTCATGTGATTTCCTTCAAGCTTTGTATTCTTGTCTATCCATATTTGACTGTGTCATGTAAGGTTCCTTCTCAGCATCAGTTATCAACTTCCATTTCTCCAACTCATCATTATTCATCTAATATTAAGCATAAACGTTTCTTAATCAATACATTAACGCTAAATAATACTCAATGTCAATTTCATTTTACATACCGAACCAATGTGATTGGCAGCTTCCTTTATCCTTTGGCATTCGGTCATACTGTCAACATTTAAAATTTGAAATCAATTTAAAGTTCTTAAATGCTTTAATCCAATTACCATTTCAACAATAATAACAAAAATACATTGATACTTACTAGAAGTACATATATCCACCCTTTGGTTGCTTTCGACTCTCGACCTCAATTTCAAAGTCATCTTCGCCAATAACAATTGCACGATCCGTTGACTTCATTTTTCCTTCATATATCAGTTTACGCAAATCAAAATCAAAAACTGGTTACATTAACTTTATTCAACATACAAATATCGATAAGAAGATAACTACTCTTGTAGTAAAACGATTTCCTTCAAAAGAATTTGAATGGCCACTACTACAAGTATCAGTATATTTATACAACCTACAATATCATTTTCTATCTATAATATTATATACATGTATCCATATTTATTTTCTACCTATAATACTATATAATCGATCACAAATCCTTCTTGGCTTCGATTCGAAATCCCCAAATCAAACCCAAAAACCCTAATCCTTATTTCCTTCAAACTATGGGAACACTCAATACTACAAGTATCTGTACATTTATACAACCTACAATATCATTTTCTACCTATAATATTTAATAAAAATATTGATATTTATCATCTACTAGAATATCACTTTCTACCTGTAATCGGTCTCAAATGCTTTTTTACTTCTAAAACCCCAAACAACACATAAAATCCCTATTTTGATTACGGTAATAATAAAAAACTAGGGTTTCGACAACGTACTTTTCGATTTGACTACAACAATAAACAAACAAACTTCGCTTTTGAAAACGCCTTCTGAAATACAGCAACAATTACGCTTCGATTTCAAAAACTCGGCCGTGATCTATCTATTTTCAGAGGAAATTTAGCTATGCCTTTTATATTTTAACCGGATATGTTATTTATATTTAATCGATACAATTACCCAAGTCTCGATACTTTTATGTCAGGTGTCGATACTTTCGATAGGATATTTACCTATTTCTTTTAAAAGTGTCGATAATTTATACGCGTACTTTATAAAGTATCGATACATTCAACATATCCGGTAGCGCTTTACCGGTTTTGTCATAATGAAACCGGTTTTGTCATATTTTAACATCTTCTATTGTTATGGATCGATACATTTTTATAAAGTATCGATACTTTATAGGCGCTATTACTGCTTTTCTTTTAAATTCCAAAAATGTCAATACTTATTTCAATGGAATCGATAAATTCAACATATCTGGTAGCGCTTTACCAGTTTTGTCATAATGAAACCGGTTTTGTCATATTTTTACCTGTTATATTGTAATGGATCGATACATTTTTATACAGTATCGATGTTTTATATGTGCTATTACTACTTTTCTTTATAATTCCAAAAGTTTCGATACTTATTTCAATGTAATCGATACTTTCAACATATCTGGTAGCGCTTTACCGGTTTTGTCATAATGAAACTGGTTTTATCATATTTTTTTACCTTTTATATTGTTGTGTATCTATACATGTTTATAAATTATCGATACTTTTTAGGCGCTATTACTACTTTTCTTTTAAATTCCAAAAGTGTCGATACTTTTCAATGGAATCGATACTTTCAACATATCTGGTAGCACTTTACCGGTTTTGACATATTGAACCCGATTTTCTCATATTTTTACCTGATATATTGTTATGTATCAATACATATTTTATTTGTATACGTACCGACAAGCTAAGTTTGCCAGTTGCCAAATTTTTTAATATTTCTTCATGATTTCCACCTACAATATTATTATTACTCAATATTTCTGGTAGTACTAAACCGACTTTGTTAAATATCTTATAATATTTCCAGTAATACCATATATTAGTCCGTCTTTCGTGAGACAACGCTTAGTGGCCAAAAATGGCCCATTTTGTGGTTTACATCCCCAGGGTCAAACGACGCCCTTTAGGGGGGTCAGGCGCATGTTTAGCGCATGGGTTAATCTCAATGCGCGTCCCTCCATCTTTGTAACAGTTCATTTCATACACGAAATGGAAGTTCTCACTTTTCGTGTTTTGGGATTTAAATTTTGATGTGTTTACATTTTAGTCATTTCGCATGCTTTATTATGATTTGGTCGAATATTTGATCTCATCCCGTTTTACATGCATTACATTTTAGTCCTCTACCATGTTCATATGTGAAAGGTAATATCCATGCTTCAGGTCCCTCTAGGTTTCTTGAATATATGTTCTGGTCATTGATTACTTTAATTACTCCATGAAATAAAATGAATTATGTACTATAGTCCATGTAGTTCTTGTTTAATTTTGTTTTAGTGCATCAATTTAATTAATATGTTTTTATACACGTTCTGTAAATATTTTATTAGAATGGTCACATGCCTTTAGATTAAATAGTAATGATCACTCGTATCAATTTTCAAAAACGTATTTTGTAGAATGGGAATGAAAAGTATAACATATCGAGGTAGCACGATTCAATACGACATTCAAACGAAAACGAACTTGAACATAATCGAGTATGTTTTGATAAAAAAAAAAATTAATCAATGTTCAATAAAAGAATCATATTTTAAATTTCGACTCAAATCCACAATTTTCATTACTACGACAACGTATAAGTGATCATGTACTAATTTTGGGTGATAATCATTCCCTACGTGTAACCGACTCCGAGCCCTTAAAACGAATCTTTGATAAACGTAAATCAAAATTTGTCTTTAAAATAGTTTTTCTCAAAATTGTTTTAAAATATATTTTTAAATATTCGACCTACCTAACCAAAAAGTCGATGGCGACTCTCATCATCATTTCAAAAATTGTCGAACTTAACTTTTTCCATATTGGTAAAAAAATAGTCAACAACTATTTTTTCCTTAATATTTTTTATCTTATTAAAATAATTATTATTATACCAGAAACCGTCTGTGAAAAATTGACTTCCACCAACAATATACGAAATTGTAATTGTTAAGGTCGTTTGTTTTACGGAAAATAAATTTTGTAAAATGGATTAAATTTTTTGAAAATCATTTTACTGTATTTAGATGATATTGTGTAATTTATTTTTCATCGGTTGGTAATTTTTTTTAAATTTCTTTATTATAAACATCAGATACAATAAATAATATTATTTATTCAAAAATAATAATATTATTTTTGAAATATTAGAATAATTTATTTAACATTATTTATGTTAATATTATTATTAAAATATTATATCAACAATTTTATAAATTAAAAATTAAAAATATTATAATTTATTAAAGTAAGAATGATATATTATGAATTATATTAATTACTTTATTTTAAATATTCAATAATTTAATATTATTATTTTATAAATTAATAAATAATATTAATTTTATTAATAATTTATAATATATTATTAAAATAAATGTATAATATTATAATTATAATGATATAATTATAACAATAAAAATATTATATTATATTATTAAAATTATCAATAAATATAATTTAATAATTAATAGTTTTATTAAAATGATAATAAAATAATATATTAATATTAAATTTATAAATAATAATGTTTTGAGTGTTTATTCTTCGAAATGAAAAGTTCGTAAAATAATTTACAAAAAATCATATTGTAAGTAATTTTCCAGAAAATACAAAGAAAATTCATTTGACCAGAAAAATGAATTATAATAATCATTTTCCACCAACCAAACACCGAAAAATGAGGAAAATATTTTCTACAAAACCAATTACAAGGAAACAAACAGACCCCTAATATAAAAACCAAAAATACTCAATATAACATTTTTAATTAATATAATATTATATTATACACATTTTTAGATTGTTGAATCAATTGAATTTAATGGATGAGATTAAAAATTTTAAATTAAAAATAATTTACTTAATTTTTTCGTAATAATCTTTATAATTCCTATTGTTTAACTCGATAATTTATTCTCACTCATCTAACGATTCAAAAAAAATATACCATATCAAATCCTACCCTAAAATAAAATATCCCAAATTAATATAGAAAATAATGCAGTTAAACTTAATTTATTTTAAAAATAAAAATATATGAATAATCAAATAAATAACTACGCACCAAAATATTACTAAAGTATAAACAAATAAATCATTTATAAATTGGATCAACCTTATATCTATCTAATTGTGCTCATGAATTCAAAATTGAGCACAAAAGTGAAGATAAAACTTCTTTTGTTCATTTTATTATCAAGTTTTGAAGTAAAAAGCCTCCGGTAGTATTTGTGGTACATACCCCTATGGTGGAAAATATAATATTCACCAACCAGTTGATTTAGCTGGTAAGCAGCTGGATATCGCTTAAGTAAATCTCGAGTTCGAGTCTTAGAAAATTCCAATAGGAAACTCACCCACCAAAACCAAGTGTTTGACCTGGATCGATTAGGATTAATCAAGACAAAGCCTTAGAAACATGAAGGGAAAGAGAGAGAATATAATATTCTAAATACACTGGAAAAACTTGATAAAAATGGAACATATTCTGTCTAACACATACAATAAAATACAACTTTAGCAATAGCAATGAGAACATATAAAATATCAATCAAGATTATTCTACTGGTCATTAAACTGTTAACCCTTTAGGTTCAACTGCAATCCAATGGCCAAGAGAACATCTAAAACGTCAATCTAAATGATTCTACAGGTTGTTAAGAGTCTTTTCAGAAGCACTAAAGTTGCATTAATCTATCAAAACCCATGTCTAGAAAGGCCTTTCCAGATGCCTGATAAGCATAACATAGTAGGCAACATCCAGAAACAATAAGCAATCCACAAACATTAAATCTGAATAAACAGTAGCCAATAAAATTATGCACCTGACGTTATTCTTGATGTGGAAACAAGAGAAGAAACCACAATTCACAAGGATTATTGTGGCCTACCATACCAATATAGATACCATATATACCAGTATATTGATACACATTAAGTGTCCAAGTCTGTTCTATTTATTATTACTCAGATACAGTTAAATTGTTCCAATATAGATTAGGACTTATCAATCAAAGAGCCCTCTATATATCTCATGCTTGTGGGGTTAAATATCAAACATTAATCACAGTGGTCCACTAGCTAGAAGATAAGAAGGTCTAGACACGTGAAAGCGTCCTCAAGCACTCAATAATTAACCTAATGCATCTTCCTTACGCCTTCATAATTTCCCTTTGGCTCCAAGCTACTTAGGTACTGATTGTCCTCCTAATTTGAGTTAAAAAATGATACTGCAGACCTCCCTATAAAGCAGACGTAGTCAAATAGACAACCACATGCAGAGCGTGAGGGTAAGTTAGTTAACTTCATTTAGCTAAAGAAGTTATGCATACCGTATTTCCTTTCTCATCTGTAACGCATTCCAGGAGGGACGATATCACCTAGTAACCCTTCATCTGTTGGAGGCTCCGAGGTAGGTTCTGGGTCCCAACGAGATTCTCCGTCAACAGGTGCTTGGTGTGTCTGTGACTGTGACTGTGATTGTGCTGTGGTTGGAGGAATTTCTCTATGTAACTGTGCCTCCGGATGATAAAATTGTAAGACTGCCGGGGTCAACTGACCAGCAAAGGAAGCTTCATGGCTGATAAATCCCCCTCTGGGGAATGCTACACTGTGATGGCAGTGTTGACCTTCGTATGTAGTAATGACAATGGTGGGATCTTCACAAGAGCGTTCTACTCTCTTCTTCACTGTGCATTTGCTGTTTGTACAGCGATAGTAGCTCCTGTGAGATCAACTATATGTGCCTTAGATATGCACAACAACCTGAAAACTTTCCTTAACATTAATGATTATAAAGCATGGATTTCTCATTCACTGCCCTCTAACAAAATGATTCTATTAATAGTTTTTGCTACATGAAAAAAAAATCTCAGCTAAACCATGAGTAGAGTGGCAAAGGAATTGTATCAAGTTGACTGAAACAAGTTTCATGTTGGATTCCTGAACAACCCTATCGGTTCCCCTTATTAAAGACTTCGCTTTATGATCACTTTAGATAATGAAAAGTAAAGTGTTTTCTCGCATAAATAAGGTTAAAAAAATATTTATGCAGTGAAAAAAAAGATTAGTGGTTCAAGGAAATAGACAATCAATTCCTAGGGTGCTTGCAATGGCATAGTCATGAACTGTTGGGATCTCTTTGAGATTATGAAAATAGTTGACCGGTATCATTAACTCTATAACCTTCGACCCTTGAACCCATTGAGTTGTCTTAAGAATCTTAGTAGTTAAAAGGAGAGTTGTTTTCTCTTGAAGTTTAAACATTTACCTTTGAAGGATGTATCGTTAATAACTAAGAAAATTTATAAAATATTACTTTATAATCACTTTTACTATTAAAATAATCTCAAACTGCTCCTTGTATCAAGCAGAGAAAAACTGGTCAACACAAACTAATGGAAGTAAAGTTCATTATTATGTTGGAAAATTTATCAAGTTTCACGAACAAATTTATTTTTTAATAGAAATCAGGCACTAAATCAGTTCTAAAAGTGGGTAAAATGTCAGTTTTCGGCGTATCATCAATAATAGAGAAATAGCAACAGACCTAGGAAATGGACTGTTTTTAACAGCTTTTTGTCCATATTTCCGCCATCGATAGCCATCTTCAAGATGATCAACCTCACTCTTGGTCATAAATGCAAAACGTGCCTGCGGTATTCGTTTTTGTCCCTTCCTCCTCACCTTACTCCTACAAAAATATTCCACCAACAGTTATCAAGATGAAGAAGAAAACAATCCCTAAACATTAAAAGCTTTGTTTGAAAAAAGAACTAAATGGGAAATGGGATTCGCGTTTGAAGTAATATAGAAGAAAGTGTATGGAATGAAAGAGATTAATTAGTGAAGAATTAAGATACTTGTACTTCATCGGGTACAGCAATTAATGATATGATGAAAGCTAAGTTTAAAAAAGAAATCTACTAACACATGCTATGTAAACAACACACAACTTTCTTAGAACTTGAAATGCAATAACATATGAACTGCATTACCAGATTCATAAAGCATTGGAAAAACCCGCCTCAAAAATAACACTCAAATCGCATATAACGAATTATTTGCAATACCCATTTCACTCTTACATGAAGGGATGAATTTGGAACAAACGCCAGACCTCATAAAAACTTAAAAGTAAGAACGTAAATGGGGAGAATAAGTAAAAACAAAAGGATGAACCAACGGCATATTCCCGCCGCAATAGCGACGGCGTACCCGCGTTCAAGGCCACTTCTTTTATAGCCGAAAAGTCGCCTTTGTATTTCATCCCTATATTCCCTTAATTGCACCTGCTGTTTCACTAAAACGACGAGACTACCTTACCCATCCCCAACTTGCACGAAATGAGGTTTTTTTTTTCCTTTTTCTCACAGATTCAGAATTTGTACGGACACCGAAAATTGCACCCTCTGTCTTTTGCCCACAGGATCGGTACGTAATTACGACTCAGTCCTCGAAATGATAAAAAATAAAGAAATAGATAAACAGTCAATTATTTTTTATGGTGATTTTTATCTTCATCATCGACGATGGATGTTTGATCGCTACTACTCACGGTATCTCGGGCGGTTTTCCGCCGGAGCCCGTAGATTTCTCCGGCGGATCCTCACTGGAGCTCGAAGACACCAACGGATTCGATGTCGACACGTCAGATGATCCACCCGGATTCGAAGCCGTCCCGGAAACCGAACAACGAGCAACATGATCATCAGCTGCAGCGCAGTTTTGTGAGCCACTAAAGTTCCCCGCCAATTCAGGCCTGGCTTCAATCCGGTTGAGTTCAGCAAACCGTCCAAACTCAACGGCATGATCCGGTGGTAGATCCCAGCCGAACTCACTAAGCATACTAGTACTTTCCCTATCGAAGAAGTAATTAACGCTGTTGGACACCGAGTCATGCCCTTCCCCGGAAAGTGTCCAGCTTGACTCGGAAGTAAACTCAGCTCCTGGATTGCTTCCCTCTTTATCTTCCATATCAGCAAACTAAAAGGAAAGAAAAAAAAAACCCAAAGGATTCACAGCATCCAAACAGAATCTAAAAGAAACGCGGAGAGAGAAATAAGAAGAGCTAGGGTTTCGGTGCTTCGAGTATGTGTGAATTTTAGTGTTGGAAAAAGCACGCGTTGTTTTTTTTAAAAGCTTTCTTTTTGTCCCATCGATTCTAGAGACAAGAAAAAAATTACAAATTAATATTCTAATTTTACTACTTCTTGTCCATTTGAAATTTACTCCATCTACCTTTTATTTCACAAATTTAATTATTATATATTTTATTTTAAATATTTAATAATCTTGATGGCGCTGGATAGTAGTTTTCTCGAGGGGCGTATGTTAGCGGGTTTGATGGCCTGGGGATTCTCGGTGATAATCTGATCGATTTTGCTCGAAACTCTTCCCTGATTTTTTATTCATTATTCTTTTTCTGTTTTTATTGGAAGAATATCAATTGTAAGTGTATGGAGAGTGGAGGGTGGTGTATGTTTAGCTATTAGTTTATTAGCAGTTGTTGCTGAGCTAGCAGGTTGTTGCTGAGCTGTTAAACTGTTAGGGTTACTTGCACAAGTTGTTAGAGTTAATTACTTGTATGCATGCAGTATAAAAGATCACTCAATTTGTATTGTTGAGCAAGAGGTTTAATAATAATAAAAAAGACTCTATCTCCTTTATCTTTAGTATTTCATCATGGTATCAGGGAACGCCGATAGGGTGTAAGTGGTTGTTTAAAATTAAGCGCAATCCAGATGGAACAATGCAGCGTTACAAAGCACGGTTGGTGGCCAAGAGTTTTTCTCAAGTCCCTTATTTTGATTTTAAGAATACATACAGTCTTGTTATTCATTTTTCAACCTTCAATAATATTATTGTGATTGTTGTCTTCAATGGCTAGAGTCTCAGACATGTTGACATCAACAACGTCTTCCTTAATGAAGATTTGACCGAGGATGTCTATATGCAACAGCCCCCGGGGTTTGAATAATTTAGTGATCATGGTCAGTTACTTGTCTGTAAATTTCAGAAAGCACTTTATGGTCTTCGCCAAACACCACAAAATTGGCATAATAAGTTGAAAGAAAATTTGTTGTAGTTAGGGTTTATGGTCTCACGTGTTGATCCATCGTTATTTCACAAATGTTCTGCACAAGGTTCCATCTACATTATGGTTTATGTTCATGATATCGTGATAACAGGTCACTCCTCTACTACCATTGATGAAATTGTGTTCATGTTGCAAAATAGGTTTTCTCTGAAAGACCTTGGTGAGTTGAGTTACTTTTTAGGCATTGAGGTCAAATATTCTCATGGTGTTGTTGCTTTGAGTCAAAATAAATTCATTCTTGAACTCTTGGAAAAGACATGTATGAAGAATGCTGGTTGTACTACTCCAATGGTTATGTCTTACAAACTCTCTCACGAGGAGGTTGCTCTTCTCCAAAATAAAACTGAATATCGCAGTATTGTTGGATCTCTTCTCTATATTTTCATACGAGACCTGATGTGGTTTATAGTGTTGGTCAAGTTGCTCAATTTATGAATGCCCCACGCGAGTCTTACTTTGTAGCAGTTAAAAGAATTCTTCGATACTTTGTCTCTGCACTTGATTTTGGTCTTGTATTCTCTTCTACTACTACAAGTTTAAATGTTGTTGATTTTGCTGATGCTGAATGGGGATCTAGCATCAATGATCGTCGATCTATTTTTGGCTATATAGTCATTTTAGGAAATTGTCTTGTTGCATGGTATTCAAAAAAGCAGCGCGCCGTGTCCAGATTCACAACGAAAACTGAATACAAAAGTGTAGCTGATACAACAGTTGATGTATCGTGGGTTACTACTTTGTTGAAGGATTTTAGCATTCATCATGGTCAAAAGCATATTGTTTGGTGCGATAATACAAGTACAGTGACCATGAGTACTAACCATGTATATCATGTTAATCTAATCATATGGAGCCTGATATCCACTTTGTTCGAGAAAAGGTTGTTGCTGGAAAACTCTGTGTCAACTATATACCTACCATACATCAGGTAGTTGACAGCTATAAAAAGTGTCTCACAAAAATAACTTTTGAAGATTTTCGCGTTAAAGTCTGTGTGTAACAAGTCTAATTGTAAAGAAGGAAAGAAGTTGGGAGAATATTGGAGGAATATCAGTTGTAAGTGTATGGAGAGTGGAGTATGGTGTACGTTTAGTTGTTAGTTTGTTAGCAGGTTGTTGCTAAGCTAGTAGGTTGTTGCTGAGATGTTAAACTGTTAGGGTTACCTGCACAAGCTGTTAGAGTTAATTACTTGTATGCATGAACTATAGAAGATCACTCAAGTTGTATTGTTGAGCAAGAGATTTAATAATAATAAAAAGAGTATATCTCTTTTATCTTTAGTATTTCGTCAGTTTTCTTTTAATTCATGAGTGTATTGCCGAAGTTGGATTGGAGGCAACTGTTTGGTGAGGGTAGCAGAGCAATTGCTAGATTTTTATCCTCTAACAGTGAGCGATGACTTTATCATTGTACAACGTCCAACAAAAGTCCTTCAAGATGAAATTGTTGATTGGGAATTCGCGTTAGTGGGTCAATTCATTGGATATGTCCCAAATTTTGAGATTATGCAGAGACTTATAGAGGTGTTATGGGGGAAGCTCTCCACGGTTAAGGTAAGCTTGGCTGGTCATAATCTATACGTTTTTTCATTTCCTATTGCTTTTGTTAGGGATAGAATTCTTAAGATGTTCCATGGCATATTCATAATAAGCCATTTATTCTTAGGAATATAGTGTTTGATATGGGGAAACTTGATTTCGATTTATCTAGGATGTCGATATGGCTACATCTCTATAATGTCTCCTTGGAGTTATATTCTAGACAGGGCTTGAGTTATATCGCCATTACCCTTGGCAATCCCCTTTATATGGATTTTATTACAGTTTCGAAAGGAAAGCTAGAGTTTGCCAAAGTTTCTGTTAAAGTGAAGGCAGGGATGTTATTCATTCGATTGTGAATGTTGTTTTGGTTAAGGGTGTTGTAATTTCGGTGTGTGTGGTTATCCCTTGGATGCATGTATGTTGTATTGGGTGTGGAGTATTTGGACATTGTGACAAGTTTTGTTCTATTCGATTAAAGCAGGATGACAAGACTTTACATCTTCTTGCTAAGGATCTAGAAGATGAAAAATACTGTTGAGGCTTTATATTCGAATGTTGAGGGGAGTAGTTCGATGGAAATAGAAGCTGAGAGTGTTTCAAATGAGATGTAAGTTACTGTAGCAAGTGGTGTTATTGTGATAGAGGGTGTTGTAGCTGATTTGAGTGTTACTCGGTTTACTGATGAGCAAATGTAGAATCCTGGGAATAGCTCAACTGCTATTATTTGTCAAGATAGTACTGCTGCCTAGTGTTCTAGGATAAAGAGGTGTCAGAAATGAAGGTTGGTTCTATGGGCAATGGCTTTCATTCCTTGTAGAAGAAGAGGTCAAAAGGGATAGCTAAGGATATGAAGTTATTGGTTGGTTCTTCAAACCGCTTTGAAGTTCTTGTTGCTGAGACATTAGATGCTCTTAGGAAGGCTCAGGTGGCTTCTCTTGGAGTGGCTGCTATCTTAAATGATATGAAGTCTAAGAAGAGGGAAAATAATGAGAAGACACGTATGAATGTAGGTGTAAGTGGGGAGTAGAGGTACTTCAAGTTGCTTAATGATAATTTGTTTTTGGAACATTAAGAGCTTTAATTGTCCCTCTAAGAGTGTTAAGGTGATGAAACGGTCGAATAAAATTGAGGTTGATGTTCTTTTTCTAATAGAGACTCATGTTAGACAATCCAATTTTCTAGGATGTGTGGATTCATTGGTTGTTGAGTGAAATAGCCTTCATAATTATGATTACATTGAGAATGAGAGGCTTTGGATTTTATGGAGGTAGCACTTGGACTTTAAGGTTATTCAAATTGTTGATCAGTTGATTTCTTTTCGAGGTGATGTAGGTGGGCAGAAGTTGGACATTACTGCAGTTTATGAGAGTAACTATGGGATAGTTAGAAGGAATTTATGGTGTCAGTTAAGAGGTTCGAAAGCTACTATTAGAGATCCATCCTGGGTGATTGGGGCACTTCAACATTTATACTCGTTCAAAGGAGAGTTCATATTTTGGGGTGATTGACCATCATCTTAGTGCTGACATGGATGAGTTTCTCAGTTGTATAAAGGATTTAGAGTTGATAAATCATCCTTACTCTGGTTCAGTTTATACATGGTCTAATAAACATGTAGAGGGATTTTTGGCTCGAAAATTAGACAAGGTTCTTGTCAATTCAGTTTGGTTACATTGTTTTCCTAATACTTATTGAATTCATGGCCATGGTGTTTCGGACCATTGTCCTACTGTGGTTTGGTCTGCTAATGATGTTCTTGCTAATAGGCCTAAACCTTTTAAAAATTTCAATTTCTATACTAACAATGTGGAGTTAGTTGAAGTTGTCAGAAATTCTTGGTATAAGCCTGCTATTGGAAATGATATGGAAAAACTTTTTTTGTAAATTGAAGAGACTTAAGCCTCTCTTGAAGAAGATTAACCACATGCATTATTCTAAGATTTCTGCTCGTGTAGCTGAAAAGCGGTGTCAATTAGAGTATGCTCAACTATTTAATATGTCTCATGCTAATCAGATAGATATGGGGGGAGTGATTTTTTTGCGAGCAGAATTGACTGAATTGGAAAAGGCAAAAACTAACTTTTATGCTAAAAAAACTAAGGTGCAATGGTTGAGAGAAGGTGATATAGGAACCAAATTCTTCCATTCTGTTGTTATGGAGAAAATGAAGAGTAATACAATTAGGTTTTTATTGGATGATAATGAGAAGCATTTGGATTCGTTTGAGGATGTGTCTACTATAATGATTAAGTTCTTTACTGGCCTTGTGGGCTCTCCAAATCCTAGAGTAGACTATCATGAGGTTGAGCAGTTGAGGGAGTTGATTCATTATGAACTTCCTGCTAGTGCAGTTGATGGCCTAGTTAGGGAGGTTTCTGAGCAGAAAATTAATGATGTTTTGTTTAAGCAGGTAATGAAAAGAGTCCTAGCCCGAATGATTACACAACCCGATTTTTTTAAAGCTGCTTGGGAGACTATTAAAGTGGACTTCACATGTGTTGTGAGG